TGATTCTGAAATTGTTGGAGCTGAAGCACTGGATGGGGACTATCTCGGCTCCGGTCCTCCACTTGAGATCCCTGTCGAATCCGGGATAGTACGGAGTGGGGAGGAGGAAGGCGTCGCCGGGGTTGGCGAGACAGAAGATGAGAGTCTCGTTGGCGGAGGTAGAGCCGGCGGTGAGGACGAGGTTGTCGGCATCGAAGTCCACCTTGTTTCCTCGGATTTCGGACATGAACTGAGCCATGGCGTTCTTGAATTCGGGAAGGCCGTGGTAGTCTTGAAAGAGGGCGAGCTGTCTGAAGACGGACTCGCCCTCGGGGTTCTGGAACGCCGCGGCTTCGGGGTTGAGAGCCATCCAAGACTCGAGGAGGTCGAAGGAGAGCTGATTCTCGGCGAGACCCATTTGGATGATACCTTTTGGGTTCTTAATTTCATCGTAAGGGTTCTTCTCGTACTCTTGCCATCCCAAGAAGTAGGACGAATCTTGTCCGTGTGAATTGTTTGTCACTTTATCAGATACGAGCTTCATTTTCTTCTATTGTTCGAGATTTGATATTTGGAGAAGGCAATGAAGAAAAAAGAAAAGAAGAAGAAATGAAGCTTAGAGAGAGAGAGAGAGGGGGGGGGGGGAGAGGAAAGAGAAGATGTTGTGTTGTGTTGGGTTGTGATGGCTTATCCTCACTGCACTGGGGATATATATAGGAGTTGGAGGAGTGAATTAATAATTGCGGGTCAAGATCAATTGAGTCGAAAGGATTTTATTTTTGTCAGCATCATAACTAGCAATTAATTCTATTTTATTTGAGCAAGAAAACACTTGGGAATGGGACTGGTCATTATAATAATATCAAATTTATTACGCCTCACGATTATGCTTAATTATAGTTAACAACATGATTGAATTGACAATTGGCAAAATAAATAAATAAATAAAAATCTAGATTTACTTTTATATACTCCACTGGATTTTATTACACTCCATATCCGCGTTAGACTAGCTAGCTAGTTGATGGTTGGTATAGTTAGATGAGAGTTTATGTATGCCAGTAATTATTCCATCTGTGAGTGGTATTTTAATTAATTAGGAGTATTATTTTTGCATGAGAGTTGAGGGTTTAAAAATTCATATATGGGCGGTGCAATTACTTATTTGATCACTGGTTTGGGTTGGGTAGTTTTCTCTCCGGAGAGGAATAGACCATTAGAAATTAGGATGGTAACATTAATGGGTAAGCCCACTCCCTAATCACATGAGCACTATCCTATTAAACTTATTTTTATTAGAATTAAATAAGATTAAAAATAACTTTAAATATAACTATAATTAAATCTGACTAAATCAGATCTTAATGAAATTAGATCAGTTAAACTGAACAAGCTCTTATTCTTATCACTATTTATTATTCGTAATGTTCAAGACTTTCTTACAAGTTACTATTCATATAGTCAACTTTAATTTAACTTTCCTTATCTATTTTTGTTGAATATTTGATAAAATAACATAATCATATCATCAGTTATTTTGTAAAAACTTTTAATGTACTCCGTAGTGTTAAATATGTTATGTATATTTATATATTTAATATTAATTATGTGATCATTGTAATTACGGTAGTTTACATGTATAGGTTCCCTTCCGTAATTAGGAATCTTCTGTAACTATTTATACGAGGCTTCGCCCTCCGTTATTTCTCAATAGAAAATAACAATTCTTCATGGTATCGGAGCCTCTCGTTGCTCTCCGTCTCTCGTCCGACCTAGCACAGGCGTAACCCTAGCCGCGCCGTCGCCCCTCCTCTCTCGGCCGACCAGCACACAGCCGCCGCCCTTCCCTTCCTCCACGGCAGTGCTGCCGGCGCTGTCCCTCCTCGGCGACCTTCCTTCCCTCGGCGAGCAACCCCCTCCTCTCACCGGTCATCATGTCCGAGAAGATCTCGGCTACCGGCGCGACGTCCTCTTCCCCAACTCCACACTTGGCATTCACGACGATCTCTAACGTGAAACTCCACGTGTCGATTCTCCTAAGCTTCTCCGAGCCTAACTACAAAAAGTGGAGCTGGATCTTCCTCCTCCTCATTCGAAGGTTCTCCTTGGGTGACTTCCTCACCGGCAAGTCGTCTCCATCTAGCGTCGATGACTCGGAATGGTTCCAACTTGACGCTCTCATACAAGGTTGGATTCTCTCAACGGTTAATGATGAAATTTGCGATCTTGTTCTCTCCACAACAAACTCCGCATCCGAGCTTTGGAAAGCCATCTATAACATCTTCCACGACAACAAGCCGGCCCGGGCGATGCCACTTGAACACCAATTCCACACCACCACGAAGGGTTCTCTCTCCATCGCTGCTTAGTGTCAAACCCTAAGGAATCTTGCGGATTGGTTGGATGATGTAGATGCCACCGTCTCCGAACAACAACTTGTTCTTCAAGTCTTGCGTGGCCTCCCGGATGATCTTCGAGCACAAACGTCGTTTCTTCAATACATATCCATCGTCGGCGCCTTACAATATCTCACTTTCACTCGGCCTGATCTTACATATGCAGTCCAGCAGCTCTGCCTACACCTCCATGCCCCCCGCAGCACCCATCTCACAGCTATGAAGAGGGTTCTACGCTACATCCATGGCACTGCTACTCATGGCATCACCCTTCACCGTACGGGCACAGATTCCTTGCAAGCCTACTCCGATGCTGATTGGGCTGGATGCCCCGACACTCGTCACTCCACCTCGGGGTATTGTGTTTTCCTTGGAGATAACCTCATCTCATGGTCCTCCAAGCGCCAGGCCACCACCTCCCGCTCCAGTGCCGAGGCCGAGTATCGTGCCGTGGCAAACACCGTAGTTGAGGCAAGCTGGGTCCGAAATCTTCTCCTTGAGCTTCAACAACCCCTGCGGCGTGCTACACTAGTCTTTTGCGACAACGTCAGTGCCGTGTATCTATCATCAAACCCAGTACAGCATGAGCGCACCAAACACGTAGAAGTCGACATCCACTTTGTCAGAGACAAGGTTGCCCTAGGGCATGTCAGAGTACTACATGTCCCCTCCTCCTCCCAGTATGCAGATATTTTCACTAAAGGGCTTCCGTCTCTTCTCTTCTCCGACTTCAGACACAGTCTTGGCGTCCGTCCTTCGCCGGTCACGTAGTTGGGTGCATGTTAAATATGTTATGTATATATTTAATATTAATTATGTGATCATTGTAATTATGGTAGTTTACATGTATAGGTTCCCTTCCGTAATTAGGAATCTTCTGTAACTATTTATACGAGGCTTCGCCCTCCGTTATTTCTCAATAGAAAATAACAATTCTTCACGTAGTTTTTAAATATAGAATTTTTTAATTTTACACCTATAATCAAATAAATTGAATTGAAAATAATTTCTATCAAATCTTGTAAACCAAAACAGGAAGAAAATTTGAGGACGAAAAGATACTTATTCTTATTACAATCAAATTATATGAGATCAAACTAGATCACTTCAGACTAGACTAAACCAAACCCATAAAAACAACTTTGAATATAATTACAATCAAATTCGATGATACCTTAATAGAATCAAATCAGATCCAAACAGATCAGACAAAGAGAAAAACCTCATGATGTGTTCTCTATCGCAATTCAGCTACTATAATTTTTTTGAATCTATTTCTGTTATTTATGAAATAAAATAAAAATAGTAATATTTAGAGTAAAATTCCATAAAAAGTCCCCACGTATTGTGCATTTTACATATTTAGTCCCTACATATCAAATATTAATAATTTAGTCCTCAAATATTATATTGTTATTCATGAATGGTAATTTGTTAACTTTTCCATTTAAAGAGTGGATAAAATTGTAAATTCACGCTCCTGTCTCCTCAATTAAGCTTCCTCCCTCCTCTCCAACTCCTTTCCCAAACCCATCACTGAGTTTGAAGCTCTAAATCAGAATTCGAAACGATCACTCCTCTATCAATTGTTCATCTTCCTAGTGGAATCCAAAATCAAAACTAATAACCTCCATGGATGAGTTTTATGGGTTAGTCTCAGAAAATTGCAAAGAAAAACCTTAAAACTTATCCATGAAGGTTACTGGTTTTGATTTTGGATTCCAACAAGAAGACGAACAATTGAGAGAGTGGTGATTTCGATTTAGGGTTCAAAGCATCAAACTCAGCTACGGGTTTGAGAAAGGAGTGCAAGAGGAGGGAAGAAGCTTAATTGAGGAGAGAGAGGAACGAATTTACAATTTTATCCACGTTTTTAACAAAAATATTAACAAAGGACCATTCGTGGAAAACAATATAATAATTGGGGACTAAATTATTGATATTTGATATATATGGACTAAATATGTAAAATGAACTATAACTGGGGAGCTTTTATAGAATTTACTCTAATATTTATCTCTTGTTGTATATTGTCTCTATCTCTTAAATGCTTTCTTCTTTTGACTTTTAATGGATTTAAAGAAATAATATTTCTGTGTTAAATTTCCAAAAATACTCTTAATGTGTTGAGTAATTTATTAGTGAATGGATATGAATTGATAAGTAAGACAAGAGCTAGTATTAGGGATGGAAATTCAACCCGAACTCGATCTTAACCGACCCGAGCGTGCACTAAATATCCGAATCCGAACTGAAAATAAAACAATATGAACCCGACATAGGGTCAGGTCAAGTGTGGGTTTATAATTTTCACCCGATGTAAGATTTAAAAACGTTCTTTTAGTACCTAGCAGTTTTTACTAATATAGGACCTATAATGCCAAAAAAATATTATAAATAGCAACTTATAATGAAAAGTTGTTGTATTGCATAGTAAAACGCTTTTATTTAGGATATAAAAATAGAGGATATTTTCTCTAATTGAGTTGGAAATGATTTAATATCTATTTTCATCAATCAAAAGGCTTACTTCGTAAACCACAAGTGAAATATTTTTCAGAGGAGAATAATGAGTTAGAATATATTTCCTCCGTTTTTTAAAAGAGATCCACTTTTGACCAAGTGGTAAAATAAGGAAGTGTTAAATTATTGTTGACTTCCAATTTTATCTTTGATATAATGTGTAAAAGTGAGATGTGATGGATATGTTATTAGAGAAAAAAGTATGATGTGATAGGTAGGTTAAAAAATAAAGGTAAAAGGAGTTTGTCAATAAAAATTGAAGTATTTTATTTGAAGGGCAAAAAATAAAACAACAAATGCTTTTAGAACGGGGGTATGTAAAATCTATTGTAAGCCTATAATCATAAGTTTGTGCTTTTGGTTGGTTTTGTTTCTTGACAAGATATCGGCATGTGAATGACCAAGAGGTCATGTGCGTGTTTAAATTTTACTGCTACTGAGAATTAAAAAATTAATTTTCATGTGCAAGCTCTTTATTAAGTTGAGTTGATTCCTTGATAGGAAGTATTGTGCGATTAGAATTTGTCTTATATACTCACTCTGTTTCATAAAGAGGTTCCTATTTTGACTTTTAGGAGAAATAAGGAGTGTATATTTGCTATTAACTTTCTAATTTTGTCCTTTATGTGATGAGTAAAAATAATATGTGATGAGTAAATTATTAGTGGAAAAAGTATAATTTGATTGGTAAGGCATAAAAAGGTAATGAAATATTAGCATTACGAAGTACTTCGTATTATTCTAGTACTCCGTAATAAAATGCAAATGATTTCCAATTATATATAGAAGTGTAAGACTAGTGTTGGAGTGTCCTCCCACATTGGAAGTTCAAGAGCAAAATAATCGGTATATAAGCTCTTGAGTTGAACTAACTAATCGATTAGATTTAATCTTTTAATAAGGTTCATCCTAAGTGTCTTATAGCCCAATCCAGTTATCTCTACCCAATCCTAAATTCTATCATAGTATTGGAGCAAGTTTTGATTCACCTCGTTTGTCTAGGTGTCCGTCTAGACGTTCATTCCTAGCGGCCCATTAGTCTTTAGCCCAATTGTCTGTATGGAGTATGTATCCAACGGCCTGTGGCCCGTTTAACACGATTGCTTGTCTGGTAGTCTACACCCAGTGGCTCGTGGTCCTTTATGGGTTGACGCTCAAAAAAATCAAGGGAATGAGAGTTTATTTGAAAGTGGTCAACCGGTTAGATTCAAAATGGCCCGGTTGTCCACTTGAGAGGAGTGTTAGAGTGTCATCCCACATTGAGTTGAACTAACTAATCGATTGGATTCAATCTTTTAATGAGGTTCATCTCAAGTGTCTTATAGTCAATACAATTATCTCTACCCAATTCTAAATTCTATCAACCAGAAAATAAAAATTAAAATTGTGCTAGTAGAGAAAAATAGAGTAAAGTGCAAGCCGTAAATATTTGAAGATGCAAGAAAAAAAAGGCCGATCGATGATTTGATGTGTACGAAATTGCATTAAATGGACGAAATTCAATCAAAGATAATCACATCTTATTCATCCGCTGGTTCGGATGTGATCATGTGAATGACGTGGTCCATATTAGATCACATAAAGAAAGTGTTTTTGTGTGCCAGTGTCAATGCTAGTGCACGAAAAGTATTAAAATATGGAGTAAAAAAAATTTAAGTGTTTGTGCTTTCGAAGAGTATATATCATGTATACAATCATCTTCAAGTTTTAAATTTGTATTTTTCTAATCATCAATTTAAAGACTGATCAATGATCATATTACAAAATAATATTATTTTCCTAATCATCAATTTAAAACTTGAAGATGATCAATGATCATTCATCAATTTCTAAATTGTGTAAATTACAAAATAATAGTGTGAGCACTAAGTTGTATTAAATCGTCTTAGAGCGACACAAACATCCTTAAAGTACCACTTCAAGGATTAAGGGGCTGTTTGTTTCAGTTTTTTAATGATTCAGATGTCTGAATGATTCAGCACTTAATGGTTCAGACTGTTTGTTTCAGCCTCTTAATGGTTCAGATGTCTGAATGGTTAAGAGATTTGCCTCTGAATGGTTAAGTATTATACAGAGTCTGAATGGTTAAGAGCTCTTATCTGAATTGATCAGACATTTGCCTCTGAATAGTTAAACAATATACTAGCTCTTAATGGTTCAGACCTCTTACTGGTTCAGCACTTAATGATTCAGACCTCTTACTAGTTCAACACTTACCCATTCAGAAGTTACCAAACAGCCCATAAGCATCACCTAATTTTTTAAGCATCATAATAATAATAATAGAAGTAGTAGTAGTAATAATAATAATAATAATAATAATAATAATAAGAGTACTAACAATAATAATAATAATAATAATAATAATAATGGAAGTAACACTAATAGGGAGTGTTAAAGGAAAGAAAATATTTGGTAGAATATTTGGAGATATTTGTGTATATATTATTTTTGGTAGCTTCCTTGTATAGGGTT